GTTTCTGAAAAAGAAAATGTTGAATTTAATTTTCAGAAGAGCAGAAGGTGGTAGAATACATCAAGGCTGTCTTTCTTTAGTGTGCTTTGTATCAAAAAAATACATCTCTTTAAGTTCTGAGGCAGAGAATGGGGTAGAGTTTCTGTTTGAGAACTTCCCAGAGAGACAGGATGTTCTACTGTTGAAGTGATTAAGGCACTTTAGTTCTTTCTTAATGTCTGTCTAGGTTATCAGAATTTCCATTTCATACTTAGTAAACAGATTCATTTGAACAATGAATTTGAAGAGTACAGTTAAGGCACCATAACAAGATTTTCTTTGGAGGGGACTATAAAAATGTGACCATCATATCTTATGGTGCTAAGGAAAATGCAAATATACAAATCTATCACAGCATTATCTCTTTGTTACCATAGATTAAAAGGCACATGGGTTGGGAGGCTGAGGTAGGAGGATTGCAAATTCAGGGTTAGCCTGGGCAACTTAAGGAGACCTTGTCTTGAAGTAAAATTAAAAGGTTGGGGTTGTAGCTCAGTGGTAGAAAGTCTGACACAGCTCATTCTCAGTCATGAGTATGCTGCTAGAGTGGGGAGGACTGAAGTGTTCCCTTCTCACCGTGCTGTTTCTCTTACCTCTCCCCTGCTCCTTTTTGTGTCCTTTATTTAGGTCAGCCCCAGCTGATGCTCACAGCAGGACCCAGTGTTGCAGTCCCTCCCCAGGCACCTTTTGGTTATGGTTATACCGCACCACCATATGGGCAGCCACAGCCTGGCTTTGGGTACAGCATGTGAGAAGAAAAGCTGATCCTGTAGTCTCCTATTTTCATACTGAAACATCGCCTCTACCCACTTCTCAGTTTATAAATGGGGAAAACAGGCAACATGTACTTGTAACCTTTATTTCATGAAGGACTACTTTTTTGTTTCTAACTATAAACTTGGATCATCTATGTTAAACCTTATTTCACATTCCACATCATTTTAGAATTTATTTTCAGAGGGGAATAGTATTCACATGGGCTTTTTTCTTCCCCTTCGTTCTTTGAAGAACTGCTTAATAGTCAATCTATTGTGAAGATCCTGATTTGCACTCTGTAGTGTTTAAAGAAACAAACTCTAATACTGAATCTCTTAAATTTAGTGTATGTAAACAGCTTATAATATGTATTGTCTAAATGCATTTAAACCTCTTTTACTCAAAGGTAAGCTAAAGTGAAAATACTGGTATGTGACCACACGAGACTGTCATTGCCAACACAGACAACACTAATCAGCGTATCCTATATTGGATTGCAGTGCTCTCCAAATTATTTGAAAAATGCATACAGACAACTTGCCTGATTTTCAATGAGCATAAAAGGCCCTCTAACCTATGCAGGTTTCCCCATTACGGCTATAGAAAATGCTAGTGTGTTTTGCTCACTTCGTATGTAACAGGTGCCCTTATGTTGTGCTATATCCTGTGCTTTTTCTGTGGGACCATTCCATTCAGGAACAAAGAGCACCGTGATTCCAATCTTGTGTGTATTTACTAACCCTTCCCTGAGGTTTGTGTATGTTGGATATTGTGGTGTTTTAGATCACTGAGTGTACAGAAGAGAGAATTCAAACAAAATATTGCTGTTCTTCAGTTTTGATTGTGGAATTTGAAATTACTCCAATTTAAAATAAACCACTAGACTGTGGAATACATGTAGAATTGCAGTTTTAATTAAATACCTCTCAAACCAAAACGATGGTTTCATTAGTTTCATATTGGATGCTGAAGTGTGCAGTACAAGGAAACGAGGAATAAGGATTGGGACTGTGAAGTTGTTATGCACTGTGTTGTGTACATTCATGCAGATAATAACAAATGTGCAACAGTACCAGTATCTGGTTTGAAAGAACCAGTCACTTCATTAGGGGGCAACTTTTCCTCTGTCTCCAAACCCTTTAACCAAGTGGCACTTTAGGTTTTTATCTAAGCATTTCACTTAAATAAATCACAAGCGTTAAACTTGTATTGACTTGAAATAAAAGTATATTTTAAAAAGTAGTTAGCATGCTGTTTCTCATCATGAACTTCAAGGGTGCCCAAATATTTGGTAGTTACTGTTGGTTTTTTAAAGACTAGTGTGTGAATCCAAGTGTTCTGCTTATGAGTATCACTTTTAGGTTCACTTCACTGCCCCTCAATCATCAGTAGTTGACAGTCCCCTCTCTGGTCTTGCACAGTTCTGTAGCTCTTAGGCAAATTACCATAAGCTCCAAAGAAAGGTTTTTATAGAGTTAAAACCCCTGCACCCTTCCCACTTATTGTCCATGAAGTACTGTTAACAGGAACTTTCGTTTTGGTTTATCATTATGAAAACATTTTGCTGTTCAGGCCCCAGCTGCACTGGGTTCCCAATCTCTGCTCCCTTTCTTCACTGGTATCAAGTCATGAAGAAGAAAAGTAATGGTCCCCGGGAGCTCGTGCTTTCCAGTAGAGAGTTCTCCTAGACCAGTGGTGGCGAACCTAGGGAATGTGTGTTATTGTTTTTCCTTAGTTTTTTCTAAACTAAAACTTCAGTATTCCGGTTTTATTGCAGTGTTGATACTTCATGATAAATAAGTGTTTTGGGTTGCAGTTCAGCAGTTGGTCTCTTAAAGGTAGGTCAAGGACCTAGACCTTTCCCATACCTGTTAACTAATTATCAGTGGAATGATTTTGTTCTTTTCTGTTCCCTAATAGCGGCAATTTAAAATGCTGTTTTCTTACATCTTAAGAATTGTGTTCCAACAATAACAAAAGAAAACCCTTAGTTCAATGATGTACTGTATCCTAAGACAACACTGAGTTACTACTTAAACCATCCAACATGGACTACACTAGAAGAAACCACTGTGACGTAAGACAGGGGCAAGACGTCAATAACCTGAGCTTCTGTTTGTTCCCCTGTCTGTATATTAACACTAAGTATTTTTCAGATTTAGCAGATTTTGTTTAAATCACAAAACGCCTACCTCAAGACTGGGTAATTTTATGTATACAATAGGTATAGTGAATTGGTAATAAACTTACTTTAAGCCAAAGATCTTCTCTAACACATATTACTGTTGTTGGTCTAAGAGGAGCTGAAAACAGGAAACCAGTACAAATGAGCGAAAGATTGACAGACAAGCTTCAGTTATCTTATCCTGTGTCCAAATATAGCCACTATATAAACAAATTTGATACTTGTTGACAAGTATTTCAACAGGGCTATTAGTACAGCAAGAGAACGCTAATCACCAAGTAGTGCTGCTTGATTTTTCTGTAATGAAATTGAGCACATGTTCACTGATCCTTTATACTCTCCAATTACTAAAAATTCCCACAACTCTAGTATTCTTAATATCTATCAATGTTAACTAGAAACTAAAATGGATTTTTAAAAAATACTAACAAATATAGTAAACACTGCATGTTAACATGGACAAATACGCATTGGTTATATGGAAAGTACTGACTTAGAGATGTTGCTTTTCCAAATGTTAATTTCATTAAAGTCATATTTGTGAGGAATACTGATACCAGAAAAGTTTTGGGTTTTTTTTTGGCAGTACTGGAGATTGAACCCAGGGCCTTATACATGCCAAGCAGGTGCCCTAGCATTGACTCATACCTCCAGCCCAGAAAAAGTTTTAGGTCTGGGGAGGCTCAGAGGAGAGGCATAAGTTGTCTTCCTTTACAAGACTAGCACATATAGTTTATGAAGAAAGGGCTGAGGTTCAGTTTTCTTGCAAGTAGAAATGTTATGGCCTAGTTCACCTCACTAGTGTCACACAAGTATTTCCATAAACCAAGAAGCGCACTTGCCAAACACATTTTGCAGATGTGTTTAATGTGACATGGAATATATATATTTACTGTTTTTATTAAGGACATTAAGTAAAATTGTTTACCTTGAGGGCAGGGCAGTGAAAATGGTTATGGTATAGGTAGGTATCCCTGCTGTGATTTGTAGAAGTGTCAAGTTTTTACCACACTGCTTTTTGTATCATTATTGCAAATGTCAATTTAAAAAAGTCCATTATGAAAATAATTTTAACCACATAAGACTTCCATGGGCTCCCAAAGTACACTTAAGTGTAACTATAAGGTACAGTCCTATAAAATACTTAAGTACAGACGAATCTGTTTGTCCTAGCAGATATGCCATGATTTATTGCAATTCCTTGAATCAGCCACCCTGAGCTATCCTGTTGGGAATGTACTTTGAATGTGGACTGAGGCAAGCCTCAGAAATTATCTGAAGCAGAATCATACATTTAGGATTGAGTTCAACTGAGTTACATGTTGTTGCATCACTTTTGACTTCAGCATAAACATTTTGTTTAGAAACAGTTGCTACTGTGGCCAGTTGCAATTCCTCCTGTGCTGTCACATGCCATGTAAACTCTCAAATCCACCAAGCATTCAAATATGCAAGTCTCCCCATGAAGTTGTGCTGTCACGCTGCTTATGTTGACATTAACAATGGACACTTAGAGCAGCTGAGCAGCCTATTAGCAGTGGGCTCCCTGGCATCTTAAGTTCTTAGGGGATATACTGAATTTAGAAATCTCTGTCAGAATCTTCCTAGGCTTTCAAGAAAAATCAATTTTAGCAAAAAGACAAACGATGCCTTTTGGGAGTTGAGACCTTCTGGTTTATATTCTGGGCAGCTAAGTAATTACTAGAATTACATTAAGTGACTAATGATCAAAAGAAAAAGAAATGTGCCCTTAAATGATTCTATCATCTAGTTCTTTAAGTTCTAGGGAAAGAAACACTGGGGATAACAAATTACATTTGCTTTACCACAAATTCTTACATGGACCCATTTCTGCCTGTAAAGTCCATAAGATCATGAGTTTCCATGACTTCATTACAAGAGGCGAAGTGAAAGGATTTTTATAGACTTAGAACCACTGCTGAGAACATTTGGGGCAGTGTGGGTTGAGGAAATGAAGATGAAACACTACAGACAGGTTATAGCAACGCTATAAAATTTTAATTTTGAAGTACAGAAATCTAGACAGATTCTAAACGAGATTTCACTGTGTATGGCTATACTATGATCAATTATTAAAATAGGGTATCAGCCATCCAAAAAGTAATAGGGAAGCAAACTGCAGTTGAACAGTCTTCTCGGGTCAGCAGCAGTTTCAGGGAAAAGCTAAGAACACACAAGTCTTAATTGCATAGGGAAATTTGTTAACCCTTTTTAGTCTAACTTTATCATGACCCATTTCTTTCCAGCATTTATTTCAGTACCTGTTACTTGAACCACCAAGACCATTTAACCAGCAGTATGTATTTAAGTAACAACACAGGAATGGATTTTATTTTCATCTCAAGCATATTTAAATGGAGAAGAAATTCAGCTTTTATTGTTAGAATTTGACAGGCTTCAAATACCTGTGATAGGATCATAATCATACAAAAGCCCACCTAGTAAAGTTTTAGGTGACCAGTAACTTTGTCAATTAGATCTGCTGGTCCTGGTCCAATTCCTAGGACAGTTTGAGAGCCAGGTTCAATCTGAGTACGTCCAGCATCTTGGATTAAGCTTACAGTCAGCCCTAGCATTTTCGCATGGGTCAGTAATTCAATCAGTGTTTCTTCATCAGGAGCTTTGACCACCACTTTGGGCTGGCCACAATATTCCCACTGCTTGAGCATGTTAGGGTTTTTCTTTTGAATTTGCTTGTAGGCAGAAACAGCAGCATGAGAACACTGGGCAGCGACTTTTCCTTTCCCCATCTTTAAGTCATTTCGAACCACAAGAATCATTTTGTACTCTCCACTGTCTCCCAAGATGCTTGCTTCAGTTTCAGTTTTTGTTTCATTTGTCGAGTTTTTGGGGACCATCCCAAAGCGAACCCGGAGGCCCCAGCCCAGGCACATGCCACAGGCAACTCCAGCAGCCAAACTGAGTGCTCCAGGTTGAGCCAAATACTCCATTATCAGGGACGTGGAGAGCATCTTAAGAGAAAGGAAAAAGGTTAACACTGTCTAGCAGTGAAAAAAGCATAAGCTTATCACATAGATAAACACATGGACTATTATATGAGGTCATCCAGAAGAAAGGCAAAATACACTTTGGATCTCTTGTATGTACCCTCTTTCAATCCACCCTCTGTGTTATAAAAAAGATTCAAGCACCCACACTGAACAGTTGAGGCCATTTGAACTGAAGTGAGTACTCTGGTTTAAAAATTCTTATTCATTCTTCCCTAAATCTTGTGGAGAAAAGTCTGTTTTACCAATATACATAAAGGATTTAAGGGGAAACCAAAAATAATATCCCTTTCCTAGCAGCAGTGTATTTGTATTTTCACAGTGCACTGGCTCCCAGTCAGTTCTCCACTGTCAAAATAATGGGCCTGGGGTGAGATGCACTGCTCTTATTAGGCACAAGCAAAGGCTAAAAACCTTGCAAGAATGAAATTATACCACTGGTCATTAGATGGAAACTATTATTATCTGAACTTAGAGCCCAAATTCACTTTACATATGAATACAAAGCACAGCATTTTTTATATGTTTTAATAGTTTTTTTTAGAAGTATAACTATCAAAACAAAGTTAGATTCTTTACCCTTTGTTTTAGGCTGTTACCCCAGTAAAATGGCAGTTTATATTTGAGTCACCAATAAAACACAATAAAAACAATATCAGCCTACATTAAGGCCGTTAGAATTTATAATGCTTCTATGTACAACTACAAGAAATCATTCTCTGCTTTTTCTAAGCAGGGTCCAACCATTTATAAACATGAAGCCACCACACAAGTGTGCTTGGGAAAGAAGTCCATAATTTACATGGCATGGAAGACAGTCCTGGAAATAGTTACAATAAGTTTCCCTTTTATTTTCATGAAAGTAAGAACATATGTTAACATTTCTTAATTCATTTGGTAGATTATGCAGTGCCAAATTTTCATTTTAGAATAGTATAGCAGATCTTAATTGTTAAAAATATAATTAATACAACATTAACTTATGCAATTCAGTGGTCTACAGTATATCCATAAAGTTGTGCCATCACTGCTGTTTTGGCAGGCATGTTAGTGCCACCAAAAGTAAAATCTCATAGGCCCCATTTCTCTCTGAAAACCACTAATCTACTTTGTGCTTATGGATTTATCTATTCTGAACATTTCACATCAATAGAATCATATAATGTGACATTTTATTTCAGCTTCTTTCATTTAGCATAACACTTTAAAGGCAGAATGTAAGTCAAAGTTAGTTACTTTAAAAAGTAAAATAAGCTGGTACCCTCACATGATCTCAAATCCAAACCCTTCCCTTGAAGGTACAAAACTTATTTCCCTGAACAGGCTATTTAATGTTATAAAACTGTCTGAATCCACTAGAATCATTTTCAGACAGACACTTTCTAAAACAACTACCAAAAAACACTGCAATTTGCAATCCTTTATAGAGCTATCTTCTCAAATATCTAACTTTTGCAATCAAAGCAGGAGGAACAGGAGAATTGGTGGGACAAAGATGCTCAATAGCACTTTAATCGGAAACACTTGGTCCACTAGTTTTGGCCAAAAAACGGAAAAGAAGGATTATTATTTTTGGTGGAACAAGCTGGCCTGAAGTGGGATCTAGAGCTAGAGATGGGCTATCGTGGCTTTCCTCAGGGTGTTCTTTTGTCTTGCTTTTTCCTTTTATTTGGCCTAAGCTTGCTGTGCAGAGCCAGTTTTTCCTTACTCCTCACTTTTACTTTTTCAAATAAATTTTGCCACTGCTTAAAAAAAAAACCTAGAGATGAGGCTCAAGCTGTAGTTCAGTGGTAAAGCACTACTCGCCTAACATACAGAAGGCCCTGACTCTGACCCTGGGCTCAATCCCTAGTATCAAAAAAAGAAAGAAAAAAATAGAGATGGATGGAAAGGGGACAGCAGAAAGAAAAGGCAATGGCTATAAAAGAACATGGAGAAAAGGTTTTTTCCTTAACCATGACTCTTATTTTACCTCTACCCACAGTCTAGATGAGATAGCAGTCTAGTGGGAATGGAAAAGCGGCCAGGGCACATCTTATCTGGAGACTAACTGGAAGTTTGGTGGTAAAAGAAAAGTTCAGAGTGACACCTAGATTGGAACAGACGGAGAAAGAGATATTATTTGCAGATGAAGAGAATTTTTGGTGAAAATGGCACCTTTGAAAAACTGAATTCAGTTTTGGTTTGACTAAAAGACAACCCAATTAGAGACGTCCAGCAAAAAAAAAAAAAAAGTATGTAATGAATAAGAAGAATGGACTGGGCTGGAAATACAGATTAGTGAGACCTTAACATAAATGAAATTAACTGAACTGATGAGAGTTGATGAGAACACCTGAGAAAGTGTGGAGAATGAAGAAAAGACTAAAAGCCATGGGGAAATGAATCTTTAGGGATCAAAGGACAGTGACTTAGAGTGGTCAAAAGTAGAAAGGTCACAAGTTGCAGAGCACCTGGTTTTAGTCGTCTTTCCATCAGTGCCTAATACGGTGACAGGGCTGCAATAACAGAATAATTTATGGTCTTAGATATCCGGCAGCCACGAAAAAATCTAAATACAAAGTTTTCTTAATCTGTATTATTCTATAATGTATCACTGAGATACCACCACATGATGCTTACCTATCAACAAGACTTCTATTTGATAATTGTTCTTTCAATTATTTCCTTTTAAAAAGTATACTAACTTCCATGCCAATGATTAGAGCGTGGTAGTACACAACTTTAATACTAACCTTTTGGGAGGCTGAGGTAAGAGGATCACAAGTACAACCGAGCAACTTAGTGAGATTCATAATAAAGAAAATAAGGGTGAGGATGTAGCTAGGGAGAAAGCCTGCCCAGGACTACCAGGGGGGAAAAAAAAGTCTGCACCAATTTCTAGGTTGAAAAGTAATCAAATATCCCAAATACCACGTTGGAGATGTAGCTCAGGCACTTGGGGAATGTATACAAGGCCCTGGGTTCAATCCCCAGCACCATCAAACAAACAGATCCCATATACCAGATTTTAGGGAAGCAATTTTTTCTACAGAAACACACAGACCTATTAAATGATGGATAATACACTAAGACCTTTATATCCATGAAAGCTGTCAGAATCAAAATGGAGTCACTTTTGTCAAACCCTAACGAGAAAATAAAGCTGGGATGACATAATGGAGGGGATCCCGTATACGTATGCCTGAGAACAAGAACCATGACAAGACTACCCGAATGGCAACCTTACACAAAAATACTTCTCCAAGGACATTTGCTGAGGAACTGCCTGTTCAACTTGGATACTGCCACCCTTGTAGCCAAGGACTTTTGTTTCAAAACAATTTAGATACCATATTCATTTCACATTCACAAATGTCTCTGCTTCAACCTCCTTGAATACACAATTTCTTATGGCATGCATACTCCTACTGCAATGTTCATTCCAAAAAAAACTCATTTTTGGAGAATCTCTTTTATTATTTAGATTCACACAACTATTACTGTTGCTATGAACATAAAGAGGATGTAATCCTCATTTTAAAGATGAGAAAAATAAAGATCAGAGAAGCTCCTTATCCACAGTAACATAGTAAGGGTCAAAACTATAAAATGTATCCATCTTTTGGGTTTTTTGTTAACATACCCTCTAACAGTCATAATAAAAGGCTCACCTTTTCAACTTCATCAAAAAACACCATTAAGAATGAAAACAGAAAGGTAAAAATTCCAGAAATTTCCCAGCTTTTGCTTTTGTTCCACATCTAAATAAGGTCTCTGATTATAAAATCTAATTGTTTTAACCTCATGTCAATCTAGTCATCTAAATCCTCCAAAGAGTGTTTCGGTCTTTTTTTTCCACACATCTACTATCCACACATTACTAAATCCAGTGCTCGAGACTAGTAATTATTAGCGTTGTGATCTTAAGCAAAGACAGCACAGTAAAACAACGTCCTATAAAACATTCCTCTCAGGCCTTCTAATTAACCTGCCTGACTACACACATTTCCCTGGTGCTCTTGGTCCCATCATCTCCTGAGCCACTCATTAATGCTACTCCACAAGCCACTGTCTCTGTATTTTCCAGCCTAAAAAAATCCTTTCCCAAGTCTTCTCTTACCCTTTAACCCCTGCCGACTCTTCCTCTTCCCTTTATCTCCAAAGTTCAGTTACCAACCTGTTTCCTAATCTCTGTGCCTGTGCAACTCTCTTCCCCAGTCCACTGAACCAGTGCTAACTGCCAAATGGAGAGACTTAGGCCTCATCTTGTTTCTACACCAAGAACTCGTCACTCTTAAAACATTAAACTTTCCTCCCTTGAATTCTTTAACCCAACTTTCACCCCAATTATCATCCTACTATACTTTCATAGTGCTTTCCTCATTACAGACATGAATATACTTAATGGCAACAAACTTCTAATATGCTCCCATAGTCCACTGGGCAGTAGAGTGTTTTGTCATTATAAACACAATTCTACAATCCCTTATCTGATATCCTGAGATTCAAAAAGGCTTTCTTTTAAGGGAAGCTAGTGTTAGGGATGAAACCCAGGGCCTTATGCATACTAGCCCAGTGCTCTATCCCTGAGCTACATCTCCAGCCCCCTAAAAGCTCTTTTTATAACTAAAGTTCTTTTATGAAACAGGTGTCAAAATGTGTTCGGTGGGAAAAATCTAGCCTGAACTGACAACCTATGGAAAGTCTTCCTTTCTGGCCATCCTGTGCAAATATTCATGTTTTACTCTAGGGATATGAAATTGTTTGATCATAAGGAGTTGTCCATCCAACCAATCACCAGATGTTTACTGAGTATTATAGACAGCTAAGTTAGGGGAAAATATTCTAGGCAGTCAGAGAGGGCCAGGCCCTCCAGGGAGTCGGTGCAGAGAATGAGAACACATTACAACTGTGGCTGGAGGCACATCTCTCCAAGGCCAGGCCTCAAGATAAAGATGGAATGACTAGGCCTACATGCCACCCCAAAGGATAAGCAATAAATTAGAGATTGTACTATAATTGGTATCCCTTGCTCCAATAAAGTCTAGATAGACATCCCTTTCTAAAGATCCATCCCTTTCTAAAGAGGCCCTTGTTCTTTCCATGTACACTTGGCTACATGACCTGTTTCCCCATTGGATCAACAGTACCTAAGCGGCTATTTTTTAAAAGTAGAAAAATGTACTGAAAGAAAGCTTCTGTCCGAGACACGCATAAGGGGGACCAGAGAAATGGGTTGCCCTGTTGATCACAGTTTTGATACATGTTGTACCCACCTCTATAAAACTTCCTTTGAGAAGTGAGCTCATTAGCAACCCACTTTCAGGGGTTATCTATGCCCTCCCCGCCCCCAGAGCTCACTCTCTCAATCAGTTTTTCCTACTCTTTCCCTCTGTTGTTCCTTAGAATTCATTCTTCTATTTTGGGAGACACAAACTTTGTTTATCTGACTTCTAGCAAATTGGAAGTTATATTTATTCCTCCTGTATCACTACCTCATTCACAGCTTTTTTAGTCTCCTTTGGAGTGCTACATTTTCCACCACTGATATATGTACTGAATTTATATAATCTTAATATATGGCCCTCTTTTCAGCCTATATCTGACTATCCAATATAACAGCCCTTAGCCACATGTAAGTTTGTAAACTTAAAATTCAGTTCTTCAGTTGCACTTAGCTACATTTCAACAGCTTAAGAACAATCTAAAAGTGGCTAACAGTCACTCTATAATAGACAGTGAGACATAGAATGAATATGTACATCACTGAAGAAAGTTTTACTGGATTTCACTGGTATCTTTCCAATCAATCATCACTGAGGGCCTACTGTGCTTTCCAGGCACCGTTCTGAAGCCTGGACAGAGTATCAAAACAGACAAACAAAAGTCCCATTCCCCACAGAGTTAACATCCAGTGAGAGGAAACAGTCAATAAAGTTAATCACATGCTACCTGCCTTGCAAGCACAAGGTCTGGAGTTCGATCCCCAGTACCAAAAATAAATAAATAAATAAATAAATAAATAAATAAATAAATAAATAAATAATGACAATAAAGTTAGTCACAGAACAATGTCAATTATTCCCAAATCACTGTATGCACAGGACTCCTAATGTCTCTCTGGCTTCAAACTTAAACCTCCGGTTTCTACTAGATCCACTTAAAGGTTTATGAAGCATCCTCCTCACCCATCTCTGTCTCTCTCTAGTGCTGGGCATCAAACCCAGGATCTTGTACGTTCGAACATTCTTTTTTCTGTATTTTTGAATTCTAGGGAGACCTGTACTTTTTCTCCTCCGTCCACTCACCAAATTGTTGACTTTGTCTTAAATCTGTTCTGCTATTTCCACTTACAGAGTTCTAATCATCTCTTGCCAAGAAGTTCCCAAATTAAATTAATTTTCTAACTCTAATCCTTTCCATATTTGCTTCTCTCGTTTATCCTACCCCTACTGCCATTAAAATTACACTTCTAAGGGCTGAGGATTTAGCTCAGTGGCACCACAAGCGTAAGGTCCTGAGTTCGATCCGCAGTACCGTTTTAGTACACTAAAACACATGCTCAAAAATCATCAGGTAAACACTTGCAGAACAGAACAAAAATCTCTTCGCACAAATTCAAAGCACAAAACAAAATTTGGCTACAGCGTACTCCTAAATTCTTCTCTCATTACACACTGTACCATCCAGCCACACCGAATTACTAGGTCCTTTCTTTTTTTTTTTAATCTCAGTCCATTTAGTGGTACTTTTTAGGTATACAGTGGTCACATTCATCACTGGGATCTTGTATGTTTACACGATGTATCTTGGTTCTTATTTTTTCCCCATTCCTCTGCCTTCCCTTCATCCCCTCCACCCTTCCCCATTTACAGACTTTGTTTCCATTGTTTCCTTTTCTAATATTTTTTCTTTTCCCTTCTTTCCTTTCCCTTCCCCTACTCCTTTATCCCTTTTCTTCCTATTTCACAGTCCTTTCAAGCGGCAATCTCTCCCCAAAATAATCAAATCTTTTCCATTTAAACACACAAATAAAACATTCCAGGAACGTGAAAAGGCCCAGCCTTCTCACCGTGAAGTCTTTACCATCCCCCAGTAAGGCTTCTTTAGTTCTTTTTCAAAGCTTCTCTAGCACGTATTTCCAGTGTCTAGTACAGAGGCTGGTGTGGAGAGAATTAAATGTTCCTCTAGACACAATTTCTATATGATACAGGAGAATGAAACTTCTGATTATATTTTTAGAAATCTTTTCTTTTCGTGTAACTCAACAGCTTGAAACACATGCTCAATACTCAGCACAGAGGGAGGCCTGCTTGCTCTTTTCTCACATTCGGAGAAAACACTGAGGCTGCCTGGAGGCTTTGGCAGAAACTAGTAATTCTGGGTCTGATCCCTTCTCAGCATCTTGGTTCCTTCTTCCAAAGAATAGCTTGCAAAACAGGCACGGGGATCCAGCGGCCACTAAGAACACAGTTTAAAGAGAAGATGAAGAGGGACCGGTAGTTATGGAATGAGCCGGGAAGAAATGCTCCAAGTGGACGGAGAACGTAGAGCTACGTCACTCTCCTTCGCCCTGGAAAGGATTAACCTACCTAGAATACCTCCGCCTCAGTATTAGATTCCTCTTCTTCACTTCTGGCCAGCCGACACGTTTCTCGCGCGCGAGCTACCTCTTCCGGTGTTCCTGGTAACTACTTCCGGATCAAGAACTACAAAGCGAGCAGTCTTGCTCCCCCCCTTGCCACGCCCATAAAATCCTTACTAAGACCTGAACTGAAATCCTGCGGGGATCAGCCGACGTTGCGGAAAGGAGGGGGAACCTCTCTCTTGGAGGCGGTCTCTGCCGGGGGACCGGGCCGGAAGTGACGCTAGCGAGTTCCGGTTGGCCAGAGCCCAGAGGCAGGTGTGAGAGTCGGTCGGGAGTCGCTTCCAGGATCCTGAGATCCGGAGAAGCCGGGGTCCGAGCGGGTAGGTAAAGGAAAGCCGGGAAGTGGGCACAGAAGCCTCAGGCTATTCTCAGAGCTTGGCTTCTTCCTGAGTTCTCCCACTTAAGGCATTGCAAATCTGGGGCACGGTGAATTTTACTTACCAGGAGTGTTTTTAGGGCGCTGCTGACTCTGGATGTCTCAGCTTGGAGGTAGCCAGGATATTTGGGACACCTCTCCGTCGTTGGTTAACTGGACATTGAACCCAGACTCTAGACTCCTTTCCGTTCGCTTTCCTTTCCACTGACGTGGAAACCATACTCGGTTTCTAGAGCGAACCCTGTCATCCCGGGGTGTCCGGGACCTTGGAGCATATGAAGAAGGTCTTCCCTGCTGATGAGACAGCTGTTGCAGCGTCTTTCAATTTGGTTGTCCTCCCCAACCTCTAGCACATGATGGTAAATGTGTCCGCTTCTAAAAAAAAAAAACAAAAGCAACAAAAAAACGTGTAAGTGCCTTACGAAGACCTGGTGGTAGAGTGGTCAAGGGTATGGGCCTGCGCTTCGTAGAGACCTTGCTGAGGACCTCAGATCTCTCACTACTTTCATGAAAAATACAGTTCTCTGCCTTTTCTAAATCCTTGGTTCCCAACGTTTATATTCCGTAACAGTGAAAAGTATTGGCAGTAATACATGAAGGTCAGCTTAATCTTTAAATTCCAAGAAGCCGTAAATGGCCCTGTGTCACACTGCTAGGTTACTTAATGACCTCCAGAACGGTCATGGTGGTGCACTCCTGTAATCTCAGCACTTGGGGGGCAGAGGCAGGAGGATTGCCATGAGTTTGAGGCCAGCCTGAACTGCATAGTTAAACCCTGTATCAAAAAAAAAAAACCTTAATGACCTCCATTAGTTTTTACACAATCATCTGGTTTTCTGCAACTCTGCTCAAAGATCTGATACATAGACTGGACCTGTTTATGTATTGGCAGCATTGCTCTTATGCTGTCTTTCATATCCCTTTTGATGCTTATAAACAGATTGCATTGGTCATTTGGAAAAGCTAGAACAAGTATTTCTAGTGTTGTAATGATAGAGAATTTAATGTTCTGATTCCTACTACCTATTAATTGTATTGTCAGCTCTGATTTTAGTTGTGAGGATTCTTGGCAAAAATGACAGGAAGAAACTGTAATACTAGGCAGCATTATATACGTTCTAAGTTTTTTTTAATTGACCTTTGGAAGAGAGAATGTGGTACCCATACAAATGTGACCAATTCGTGTAGATGTGAAATGACACTAAAGTAAAAATTTTCATATTTTACTTATTTTGCCTACTTGTGGGGACAGGGAGTAATTAGGATTGAACTCAGGGATTTGTGGTGCTTGTATCACTGAGCTACATCCCCAACCCTTCTTTATTTTTGTGACAGGTCTGACCAAAGTGCCCAGACTGGCCTTGAACTTGTGATTCTCCTGAATCAGCCTCCCAAGTAGTTGACATTACACCTGTGCTACACCATACCCACTGGCAACCTGCATTATTTGAAAACACTGAAACTTTTTTTAAAAGGATATATTCAGCCAGGTGTGGTGACACATATCTATAATCCCAGCTCTTGGGAGGCTGAGGCAGGATCACCGTGAGTTTGAGGCTGGCCTGGCCTACATAGTGAGTTAAAGGGCAACCAGTACTACATAACAAGACTCTGTCTTACTATGTCCACCCCACCAAAGAAAGGATATGTTCTTCGTGAATATACTTGATCCGTATAGTTAAATTCCTGTGGCTCACGTTCCAGAAGAAAATATACATGTAACTAAGTTTCTGAAATATTTTAATAAATGGTTTGATGCCTCTTAACACTTTACCTACTGCAGGTTTAACCAGTCTTGTTTTTTATTTCTTCACTTTTTTTATTAGTGCATATAGGCTATACAGATTAATGGGTTTCATTTTGGCAGATTTATACATGTACATAATATGCTTTAATCATCACCCCCCACACACATACACACCACCACCTTTGTCCTGTGTTCCCCTCCAGTTTCACATTTTTGGGGAGGTTTCAGTGCATACAATATATTTTGATCATATCCATCCCGCCCATTCATTACCTGCCCTTACACTCTTTTCCCCTTATTCCCTTCCTCTTCTCTAATTATACTCTCCTCCTTTCCTATCATCTTTTTTAGATTCTCCGTGTTAGAACATGAAATATTTCTCTTTCACTCTATTTAATTCACACCTTGTTCTTATTTTTGAGTTAACCAAGTTTTCACATTTGTCTTTGAAATGAGGTGACAAGCTTTTTGACAGGTAAAATTATAAAATTATAAAAATTATAAAACATTTATCGTTAACACTCAGTAAATATGCTTGTTGATTTTATAAATCCCACATGGTTTTTTATATTCATTTTGTTCAATTCAGTTATGCAGGGACTGATTATTCAACGCCATTCTTTAGGATTTTGAAGATCATTAAACTTTCAATCAGAGGACCTGGGTTGAATTCTGGGCTGTAGCACTAATTGAGTAATGGTTGACAGGTTGCCTGACATTCTGAGCTGGTCTGGATTGTGTTGATAAAAGGCTGTCAGATTTAATAAGGTAGTAAATGGGAAATCACTATATAAAGTAAAAATATGTTGACCCTGTCATTTCACTCTGACATCTGGAAATATTATCAGTATAAAATACTGTATGTAACATTGCATCATTTCACAATTTGATCATTTATATTGTGTATCCTTGTATTTGAAAATATCACATATTTTTGAGATGATATTTGACCCACTTTGTTTTTTTGTTTGTTGTTTGTTTTTGAGACAGGATCTCACTGTGTAATTCAGTCTAGCCTAGAACTCACAGCAAACCTCCTACCTCAGTCTTCCAAGTGCTGAGATTACAGGAATGTGTCACCATGCCCAGCTTTTATGTCCTACTTTTGAACACAGTAAAGCTGGCCAAGAATGGTTTGATACTCTGGTCCATTGAATTAGTCATCTGGGTTAATCAGTAGGTGGCTGGAAGATGAATGTAGTTTTGCATTTGAAGTTTAAATCTGATCTTTTTTAGTCATCATGTCTTATCACTTGAGAATTTCCAAGCACAGAAAAAAACCTGAAGCTTTAGGTACTTATATACAGAGTCTGCCCAAAACAGGTATGCACACATCAGGAAAAGAAAAGCTTGTATAAATACTTTACTACTAAATTTATTGAGACATCATGAGATTAATACAAGTTACAATTATAAGAGTTGCTCAAAGCAGTTGCCATTAGCTTCCAGACATTTATTACTACAGTGAACTGCTCCTTGGGTTATCTGGGCCACTAAGATTACTGCACATGCATTTTCAGTTTCTTCTCTAAGGACTGGCAGTGTAATGGGTTTTCTGCAATGTACAACAGTCCTCTAGGGTTCCCTTGTGAGAGTAATACCATCTGTTGAAAAACATGCTGTTTTTCTTTTCCTAAAATAATGTATACATTTTTAGGCAAGCTCTGTTTTATTAACTAAAGGTTAGAAGTAGCCCCCAGCTTAGTTACTTATATTGAATAAGAAACATTTTACTGAAACTAATATTTAGAATTAGAAGGAACCCCTGTGAACATACAGGTTTTTCATTTAATAGAAGAGAAAATTATGGCCCCAAAACAATCAGTAATTGGCTTGCTTGCACGGGTAATGTTGAACCTGAACTGCACTTCAGGTCCTGAATGTTCTTTCTGTTCTGTTAAGCTTGTCCCTAAGCTCTTTGATATGGTTTGGTAATATGTCTTGGTCTTTAGGCAAAAATACTTAATGTACTAAAGAAGTAGATGCACAAACACAAACTCTTTTTCCTTGTTAGCTTGTATAGTTTTGTAAATTGTAGGAAAGCAAAAGGTCCTTGGGAGATTTGCAGTGGAGTGGATTAAAGAAAATTACTTATGTTCTTCAGAACAGTTATTCTGAGTTTGTGCTTAATTGCTGTCAGAGTTTGAAAAGTCTTCTTTCTGGCAAGTGGAATGACAGGATCCTTAGAACACATTAGTAAATTCTACTAATTGGTATAGTGAGCTATATTAATTTCTTTGTTCCCTAATGGAAAATATTTCCCCATACTGTTATAGTTTTAATATTCCAGTTACCTTATACCAATTGCTTATAGAATCATTTCTCTAGCTATTTTGTTGTAGGTCATAAAGCCATTATAGAAGAGTAAGTTCATTGTCTTATTGGGAGCTCTTTTGAGTTCACAAAACCTATTTAGTTTGTTCCTTTTTTTGGAGATGATGATGGTGCAGCTGTTCTTGTTTTTGCCCAAGTCCCCTTTGTGTGCTGTCCCTTTTTAGTGTGAAAATGAACGCTAGATAAGCGGATCCTGACAAACAAGATGAATTGTATAGACCTCACTTTGTCATGGTTATATTAGTTGATAATCTGCTCTTACAAAGATGTACAAATAATTTTGAGAGTAAACTTTTTGTGTGTGTGTGCTGGGCGGTTGAAACTAGGGCCTTGTACATACTCAGCATGGGCTATACCACTGAGCTATACCTCCAGCCCTCAGAGTAACTCCCCCTACCTGTGGTGCTGAAGATTGAACCCAGAGCCTTGGACAAGTAAATTTATTTATTTATATGTTTTTGAGACAAGGTCTCACCATGTAGTTCAGGCTGGCCTTGAACTCAGTATATAGTCGAAGCTGACCTCAAACTCATGGTAATCCTTCTGCCTCAGCCCCCGGAGTGCTGAGAGTATAGGCTTGAGCCACCACGCCTAGCTTTAAGTAAGCTTTTAAGAGCATATTGCC